CTGGATTCGAACCCGCCACCTTAGGTGTATGTGGCTGGCGCCTTAGCCGCTTGAGCCACAGGCGCCGAGCCTCAACAGTGAATTTATTGTGCATTTAATATATGCTGAGAGACTTAGAAATTTAATTTTCACAATCATCCAGTATCTTAGGTTTGGGTTCTCCAGAAGCAGAACGTGAGGCAAAGATGCAGGTGCAGCTGGTGAACTCGGGAAACACAAGGGGGTTGTTGGGATGGGAGAGAAAGAAGGGGAGGCAGCCATAAAAGGCAGCATCATCGAGCAAGTCACCGCCATGGGCAACTAGAGCTCACTCTACTGGGTAACTCTGAGAACTGATGTGATAGATGTTCATCCGAGTGCTCCCCACCCAAGGAGCAAGGGAGCTGGGACGTTTATTCAATTCCTCTTGAGGAGGGTGGGTGTTGGTTCCCTGGCACTTCCAGCCTGCCTGAGCAGAGGCTTAGGGCTGCCGTAGCCATAGACTGTCCTTGAGTAAAGAGATACAGATGCTGTTGATTAGAAGTTGGCCACTGTAAACTGAAATGACACTTGATAAAAGGGGACAAGTGGGCATTCATAGTGTCTGCTTCACCCTGGGAGGTGATGAGAATAAGGATGATGATGGTGATGATGGTGATGATGCTGCTGAAGTTGGTGACAATGATAATTGTAGTGATGACGGTGGTGATAATGGTTATGGTGATGATGATGGTGGTGGTGGCGCAAAGCCTCAAAGCTTTGACGCCTTTTGGCTGCTCTCCCTTCCTGCCTTCCTATCTATCCTCCATGCAACAGCTACTGTAGTCCTTTTAAAATAGTAATTCAATCCTGTTGAAAGCCCTGCTACTGAAAACCTTCCAGAGGGATCCCATTTAACAAATATCCTAACTCTCTACCAGAATGAAATGTCACCAAATCACCCACATTCCCCCTCATTCTGCAAAGCCAACCACACAGGCCTCCTTCCAATTCCTCAGACAACCCAAGTTCATCCCTACTTTGAGCTTTTGCACTTGCTGTTCTCTCTTCCCCCAGCTGCTCCCACGGCCAGATCCTTTTGCCTCGGGTCTCAGCTCAGAGGTGCCTTCCTTTGAGAGGCCTCCTCTGACCACCCCATCTGACGTCCACCTCAAGTTGCTTCCTCTCCTACTCTCTCTTTCATCATCTTAGTCAATTTTATCGGTAGCATTTATCACTATCTGAAATGATCACGTTGAATTCATTTTTTATCATCTGTCTCCCTGATGAGGATGAAGCCCCAGGAAGGCAGAGATCACGTGGGGTTTTCTCGCCTTTGTGGATGTGGAGGATGTGATGTGGATGTGATGGTACCAGTAGGTGCTCAATAAAAACTGGTTGGGTGGGGAGGCGCCTGTGGCTCAAAGGAGTAGGGCGCCGGCCCCATATGCCGGAGGTGGCGGGTTCAAACCCAGCCCCAGCAAAACAAAACAAAACAAAACAAAAAAACCCCCAAAAAACCTGGTTGGGCGGATGAATGAACGTGTGAATCAATCTCTCTCTATCCCTTTGTTTGCTCCAGGAGCTGTTACCCTCCCCACCTGCTTTAACTCTGATCTCCCTGATTTAAAACACGAAAATGAGGAAATGCATCCAAGGTACCTGTACTATAGCAAGTGCTCAGCCAGCCCTCTCATTATTATTATTAATTATTTACAAGAGCCAGGCAGCCTGAAATGGTGACTAATGATATTATTCCCCACAGTTCTCAGCACCAGCACTGATCCCACTGCACATCTCACCTGCTCATTCACAGGGTGGGGATGACAGGACATCGCATGGTTGGAGGGAGGATCCTCTCATGCTGGCAGGAGAGGGGGCAGGTGCCTCTGGGGGTGCCAGGGGCCCAGGACGACTGTACTAACTTTGCACGCAGAGTGGAGGACCCCACTTTAATCACATTGTCAGTTTCCCCATTCATCTTCGGTGCTATCTGAGGGCTCATCTTCTCCCACCCTGTGGCATCCTCGTGATTGATGATCCTGCACCAGCCACACCACTGGGTTAGCATAGCTCACAGCAGGTACCCAGCTCCTCCTGGCTCTTTGCAGTCTGGAGCCAGCATGGGCTGGGATCATGTTATTTCTAAGGAGCTCTGTTATGAACTGAAATGCATCCCCTGAATTCATATGTTGAAGCTCTAACCACAAAGATTACCATATCAGAGCCTTTAAGGAGGTAACTAAGATTAAATGGGGTTATAGGGTAGGGTCCTAATCCAGTGGGACTGGGGTCCTTATAAGAAGAGGAAGAAACCCCTAACTCTCTTTCTAGGAGAGGACAGAGAACAGCCCATGAGAAGAGAACCCTTACCAGAAACAAAATCTTCTGGCACCTTGATCTTGGACTTCCAGCCTCCAGACTGAAAATGTGATTTTTGTTGTTTTAGCTACCTAATCTGTGGCATTTGTTAGAGGAGCTTCAAAAAACTAATACAAACTCCCTGCTGCCCCCAGCTTCTAAGAGAGAGGAGGGTGGGATTTGTAAAGATGTCTTCAAATGGAAGTGTGTAAGAGACGCCAACATCCCTGCAAGATGATCTGCAGCTGAGGCATGGACCTCGGGCCATTCCTCCACAGGAGTTCCTTGTGGGAGGAGCCCGTGCCCTCAGCACGTAGTCATTGTTAATTACTCCCCTCACCTGTATCATTCCCTTTTGATAAAAGGCTGGTGCAGAGGTTGCTCAGGGTTACCCGGAAAGTAAGGGCTAGCCCGCCTTCCACAAGCTTGTGCTTCTAATCCACCTCTCGCCTGGTTCCTTCCTGCGCTAACCGAGACCAGGGCCACAGGAGCCCGAGGGGGCGCGACAGAAGTGTTTTCCTGGACAAGGGACCTAAGCAGAGGTAATATCTCACTTCGCATTCAGATAAGTGCTTTTTTGGACAAGGCAGTAGTTAGTTGTGGCCAGACTGGGTTGGACAATAGGCCATGGGCTCTAGCCCACCTCTGCAGCTGCAGCTAACTTGTTGACCTCTGTACATTCCCACAGATTTGGTCTGTTATTTCTAAATCACCAAAGAGGAGGGTGAACATGAAAGGGAAAAGGGAATCTACAGAGTCCCACAAAAATTGTATCAAGTGCCTACTCTGCCTGCATGTGCAGGGCTGAGTCCAGAGTAATGAGGTCCCCAGCCCTTGTGGGGCTCACAGACTAGCAAGTGAGAGATACACTGAGAAAGATTTCATACTGTGATAAAAAGTCTGCTGAGAAAATAAAACAGTGAGGAGAGAGGGTGTGGGAATGTGGGTGAAGGTATCTTCGGAGTGATCAGGGAAGGGTCTTAGATTGGATGCCCCCAGAAGCAGACCCTTGAGTCAAGAACCAGAGGTGCAAGTAACTTATTTGGAGGGTGACCCCAGAAGGTCCAGTGGAGGAAAAGGAGATGGGGAGCGGTGGATCCAAGGGCTAACGGGCAGGTGACAGCCATGGTGCTGGGGATCTCTGGGAACCGTGGAGACTACACCTTTCACTCCCACATGTGCCAATCAAGGGGTAGGGAAGATAAGGGTAGTATCCACTGACTCCCACCTGGGCAGTGTGCCCCGTGGTATCCCTAGCCTTCCCCAAGGCAGGCAGGCTGAGCACCCTGCCGTACCAGAGAAAGACCCCAGACAGAGTCCCACAGGCTGGCCATCAATAGAAAACCATCAGCGTGGACAGGAACCAGGGGTGCGAGGTGATGTGTGTGGGGCAGATATGACCTCTCTGGAACCGAGACCAAAAATGAGAAGGGGCCAGCCAGGGGAAGAGTTGAGGGAAAAGCTCTGAAGACGG